ATTCGCTAAAGATCGCACATTACTTTATAAAAATATCGTGTGTATAGATAATTTTATTTTAAAAACGATACTGTTAATATTTGTCTCGTAATTGCGTTATGTTGTATTTTAAATTGTTAAGTATTCTGACTCTGATGAGCGCTAATATCCAAATTAGAGCAAGAATCCTGCGAAGTCGCGATAAGAATTCATTCGTTATATTTCTTTATATATATATATATTTGTAAATTTTTGTGTCTATATTATATTTCATTGTCTGTTAATTTCGTAAATGATTTTTAGTTTCATGTTGAAATATTATGCACAACATTAAGTTAAATATATATACATTGAACGTGACTGCAAATGTTTATTAATAATGTTCTATATGTATTTAATTAGGCTTACTTTTCTACAAATTTTAATGGTAAGCCTAAATAAAATAAATAAATATTGATCAGGTCAAGGGACATAACTCTCCTGCCCAATTGTGGATATACTTTTATCAAGCAAAAGATTAAACGAACACGTGTAGGTAATAACACATATAATTAAATAACTTGAACCTTACGAATTTTGTTCGCAAACATATATCGCGGAGAATAATGCTTCCGAGAATCATACCAATCGCTCACGCGTACAACTCGAACCGTACGACGCAACGCCTGTCGTTTTGTTGGCTATCGGCCGATGTCGAACGTCGGCTCGCATCAAAGCAGGCCCTACGGACCGCTGCGCCCGCGCCGGTGACTCGGCGCTTTGCCCTCGGAACCGCGGAGCCTTGCCGTGGAGGTTTACCTTGTGCCTTTGACTTGTTTCGATTAAAAAATATATCGGAATCATTAAGGGTTAGCGCGGATGCGGCCGTAGGATAGACACGTCACCGGATTGAAATGTTTGAGACATCGCTTTAATATTCCAGAGCACTTTTTCAACTTCATTAGGTCTATTGTGTTTTTGAAGAAATGTAACACTATTTTTTTTAGTTTTGTAGTGTCGTATACGAATTTTCATTAAGTACAGCTAAAGAAGTTCTCTTGAGAACCATGACGGTTTTTATCTGTTATTATTGCCAATCTATCAAAAGATTATTTCACAAACATTCTACGAACACTGCATGTGATGTTTTTTCATATCGGGGGAGGGAGGGGGGAAATTTTCAAAAGATTCCATGTCATCTTACATGACAGGGTTATGTGGAGTTCTTAACCACTAAATCCCCCTCGGTGGTCACCTTCTGTACGTCTGGATGGACTCCGGGATCTCCTACAGAATGCACCAGCGTCTGGTGCATTCTACATTCTGTAGTGATACTGCGCATGAGTACGCCTCGGAGAAGGATAAACCTGCCCCGATTCCCTCACCATCTTGCAGCAGCTCGAGACCACTACGTGCTGCTACCAGTCCGTGTCCCCTTTTAGTTGCCTGTTACGACAAGCATACCTTAGCCTTATTCTATGAGCCCGAGACTAAGGGGCTGATTAAGTGACCTACTACTTTAAAAAAAATTAATAAAGTTTGGTAACTTTTCCTGATTTGTAAATTTTTTCAATATTATATAATATTTACATACTGAATCATTGTTTTGCCATTCAAATTCTCAGTCTTCTTTTTCTTTTACTCTGGTTCTATTCAGGACGCTCAATTTCTAACGCTTACGTTACGTCTCTTACGTTAGACGTTAATCAAATAATCATAGTATTTTTGACAGAATAGAACCTCTAATCTTGTTATAACTCACGATATAATAATGTTTAAAATGGAGCAAACTGTATGGGATCGTCAACTATAATTTAATACGGCCCACTTTATCTACCTGATCCGTTTAACATCCGTTCGGAAATCCTTACACAATAATCGACGACTTCCTACCGTTACTTCAAACGCTCTTTATAACGCGCCATTTGTAAAACTACGTGATCCTTTATTATTGGTAATCTCCAAAAAATCAGAGTGGGTTAAACTTGAACGTCGGTTTCCGTCGCTTTATGATACCTATAAGTTGTCAGTACGAGGTAACCGTTTACAATAATTCCGTTCATTAAATATGTTCTTAATATTTAACCCAAGGTGTTTATTTAATATTGTTGAAATTGCCTCAATAAAGATTGATTGTGACAATGTCCCAGATTCTAAACCCTGTGTGATAACAACAGTGCCAGCCAACCCCCTTACCACAACTACATAACTAAACTACTTTCATATAATGTATAATATATGTAATATTAAACGATATTAATTTTATAGTAGGATTCTCTACGCATAATCTTATACTTAAGATTATGCGTAGAGAATCCAATTCGTTCTATAAAATTAATGTATTAAAATTTTGATAGGAAATGTGACATCTTTATTTTTCAAATATTTCATTGTAAAATGTCAGAACCGTGATAGTCCGACATGAGTCAGTTCAAATCCTGTTGTAGCCAAATTAAATTTTCAGCGTTGGGGCTCTACGTGTAGCATTTTTTCGAAATAATGGACTTATGTGTAGTCCGCCAATTAGTGGGGTCGCGTAGTGGACTATGACCTAATAATACCTCCTGTACAAAGAAAGCTTATGTCCAGCAATGAGTAATTTAGGCCGTTACTTTACTTTACTCCTACTAAAATTGCAAATATAAAAGTGGTCGTTTGCTGTAAAGGAAACACACTTGATGATACAGCTATGTTTAACGTTAAATGCCATTATCCCGAAGTAAATAAATACATAGACATTTTCGGCTATTTAGCTCAGTGGTCAAAGGTGTATCCCGGAGGACTCAATTTAAAATCCTCACAGTTCACGAAACAAACAAACGTTTCGTCCATTTTTCCATTAATTTAAAAATATAACATCATTCACTATATACATAACAAGATTTCAAGCGTCAAAGCTGAAAGTATACCGAAAAAGCTTTGGGTTAAAGCTTAGATTTCGACACCAAGCTTTAGATTAAGCGAAAGCTCAATGTCTAGTCAATTTGTAGTAAATGGAATCAATTATGGCCATTCATTATCTTCCTAATGGTGATTAGTAGTTGCCAATTAAGTACACGACTAATTTACAGTAAGCGATCATTTTTCAAAGATCAAAATACGTTACCCTAATAAAACCATGTAAACAAATTATGAAGAATTTGAATGTTCTACTTTGAAGGGTTGGAAAAAATAAAAAATGCGTTTATATAGAAATGTAATTTACGATACTTTTTATCATATTTTAGCCGTTTCCAAAAATGGATCATCGGAAACGTATCGGGCGGCATTCCGTTGGACGGGATCGTCGGCCATTTTGTCGTGGACGTGAACACGTGCACGTGCAAAGCCGCGGTGTAGTCTTTCAGCCAGTAACCGAACCCCGCCCTCGGTCTCACGGCTGAAGCGGCAAAAAACACCGGTAACACAACACCTACGGGGGCCCGATATTGTATGTACGAGTATGTTCGCTGTGGCGGGGAGCACGCTGTTTACTGATATGTTATGTACCTATTTATACAAATGATGTTACATGGTACTGTATACACGAAGTATAAGAAAATTTTTAATATCTTGAAAAAGTCTTTAGTTGTCAAAGTATATCGTAAACAAGATATATAGCAAGATCTATATGTTATACTATTATATGGATCACGACATACTAACAGTATGAATACTTTCATTGTGATCGTAAACTGTGGATTTCATATAGCGTCAACTGAAAACCTAGAAATCGGTTATTGAACGCTAGAAATCGGTTACTAAAAGCTATTTTAAAAGCGTCTTACGATATGTAAAGTGAATCGTCAATATGTTTCATCCAATTGAGTGTTCAAATAAAAAATCATTAATCAATTATAAGACCACAAGCACCTTTGTATGCGACAACCACGTGTTTGTTCCGCACTTAATTATTTTAATCGCGCACACAAAAGACAGACTGCTGACAAAATGTTCCACCACTATTGATATTACAACAATATAATGCATTTAAAACCTATCCAGCGTTACGGGAGCCGCGAGCCGGCCTCCGTGCCGACAAAAGTGTTCCAGAGAAGGGTAAACGTACTAAACATCGCGGCTCTTATTAAATAGTTAGAATCATAAAGAGCTATCGTGAATTGTACACTTGTTAACGCGCTTTGTTAAACGGCGCCTGTTATTGTGATCAGATAATACAACTTGTAAGGAGTGTTTTTTAGGAATCCACCATTCATGAATTTGTTAGATGCGACGACATTGTGTCGAGAGCCCTGTTGGTGTAACCTGTTGCATCTTTGAATAACAGAATGAATTCAATGAGATTAAGGACATTATGCTGTGAGGCGAGGCTGGTTTATGAACGACTGTTCGTTGCAAAAGCGGTTTTTTCTTCATTTATACAGTTTTGCTTACATTATACACTGACTCATTATTTAAAAGTGAAACTTTAATGGAGCCGCACGTGCCGCGTATGTAGTTTATCAACATTGTCATTCTGTGTTGAGTTTGTAATTAAGATGAGAATCACTTGAACTTAAAAGCGATTAATTGGTTATCTTTTTGAAGACAAAAGACGTAAGTAATTATTTTTGGCGTAAGTAATTAATAAATTATTGTAAAATGCAATTACCATTTGCAGTTTTATTTTTTCCATCGTCGATTCACAAGAGTTAATATTAAAAACGAAAATAACTTACAAAATATTTATTATTTTATTTATTTATCTGACAATAGTCTAAGGAACTAAGATTTACATGATTCCATTTAAAGGTAGTTACAGCATACAAAAGAGTTTAATTATTAAGTAAGCCGATTGAAATAATTTGTGCTATAATTAACGCATTACATTCACATATCTTCCAGGCTTTTCTAAATGTCTACTGAGGATAGAAAAAAAGAGAAGAAGAATGCGTAAGCAAACTTTTCTTTGGAAGTATTCTTTTTTCATCTGTATTACAAGTAACTAAGTATTTTGACTAAAACTTATAGCACCGTTGATATAAAACGTGGCTATCATAGCCTATATACGACAGCGGCTCTGCCAAATCTCTTCGCACGCACACAACGTCGCAGCACATAAGATGCTCGGTACGCGCAGTAATCCAATCTGCGTGTGTGTATGCGCTCGTACGGGGCTATGTAAACGAACACCAGCGCAAGTTGCAACGTGCGTGCGACACCCGGACGCGTCTGTGTGCGTGCGGCGCTGCGAGGAAGCTGCGCGTGAGATTTCCCCGCACGCAGCTGCGGTGGCCAGGTGCGCGCTCCCCTGTCGCGGAACTCGCCTCCCCCCTCCCCCCGCCTCTAACCGCTCCCGTGTACAGTCGAGAGCAACTGCTAGGACCCATTTACTAGAACAAAACTAAAAAAAATAACGAATAAATGCATTTGGTACTTCAATTGATTTATCAATTATTTGAATAATTTATGAATAATTTATTATTGAAAACATTTTCTACAATTCACCCATTAAAGTCACATTTGAATTGCAGGCTACCATTAAAAATAATCGCTAATTGCAATAAAAATAAATTCAATTTCTCACTTTGTAATCGATGTTGTTTCATTATTCATGTAAATATACAATTGAATTTTTGCGTACGGTGTTTTTATTTAGCCACGTTGAAATCATTAGAGAAACTTTAAAAAGAAATAAAACTGTTTTGGGACGTATGTGACGACGCTACTTGAGTATTTATCATTTTCTACAGCCTCGTAGTACGTACAATAAATGTACACGCCTGTACCTAACCACCCCATCGAAATCTGTGAATGCTTGCACAAACCCGCTTCCATGACATAAACAGTCCATCAAGCACCGTATTTATTCCACTCGGTGTGGGACGGATTGAAGCCAGAACTTTATGCTTGCGGCCCTTGTGGGGCCCGTCCCTGCGAGTAATTATCCTACATGTTTTTATATCTGATTTTTAGTGTATTATTATTTACGGTTTGGACGGCACCGGTACTGGAATTATTTGAGTATCCGCTCGGATTATGTTAAGTAGTGACTATTAAATCGGCCCCGAACTTTGAAAAAACATTAAACTTTAATATATCTGATCAGATATAACATAAAAATGATATAATAACCTTTATGTGCATTTTAACGTGGTCCATACAGTATCATTATTTAGCAATATTTGTCATCTCTGCAATAACATTAATATTAATTGATGCTTGTTTTAAAAATTTCGCAAAATTTTATCGAACTAGCTTTCGAAAAATTAAAGGTTTAAATGTTTTACCTGTATTAAAGTATACAAGTACCAAATAGCAATAAAAAATTAGTGCTTTGATTATCTCACAAATTTTACCGTCTTTAAAAACTGTAGTAAACGATTCCTAAGCTGCTAATTCTTTTAGATACGAGTCCATTTGTTTAACATTCGTTAACTGCAAATCCTTACTTCACAGTTCTGAAATTTTAATTATAAAATATTTACATTAGTTTTCTGCTGTTTTTTTACATCGTGTTGTAACTATAATATAACCACATTACGATGTAGCATATCACGTACATATTAAGCAATAAAGAATAGCCTTGATTTGAATATAAGTGAAGTTTTTAAGGGGTCTTTTTAAAGCGCACGTGCGGCAGCCGTTGTTATGATAAACGGTTTTCTATCCAAAATTCTCTTACTATTAGAATACTTAGTTAATTAGAGTCCTCAAGGAAAATTCATTCAAGTATTTAATACGAGTTAATAATCCTTACTAATATTATAAAGGCGAAAGTTTGTATGTATGGATGGATGTTTGTTACTCTTTCACGCAAATACTACCGAATGGATTTTAATGAAACTTTACAATAATATAGCTTATACATCAGAATAGGACATAGGCTATAATTTATATACATATTTTATGTATATCTATCTTTATGTCTGAAAGTTACGCCTTCAGCCTACTACGCAGACGCGGGCAGCAGCTAGTTAGAAATATGTGTTTCACATTGCGGGAAATTTACAGGGTAATGCTTAATCTAAATCTTGTTACGCATAATATTTTTTTCGATTCATTAGAGAGACATTAGTGTAATTTTGGTAAGACATGTGCGGCACCGGTTTGTCTAATTCTCTCTGCGATTAGGAGCGTGTGAGTCCACACGGTTCGGCTGTTGCTTCGTACCGATTCTAAAGTCTTTTACATTTCACTGGCACGTGACGAAGATTAATAAAATGTAAAATAAAATGTTAAGTGAATTAAGCCTTTGGCCACCGCTGGGCAAAGACTTCCTCTGTACTGAGGGTATTAGGGTACCGTCCACCACGTGTGGATGCAAATGTGACATGAATGTTCTTCGAAATGTTTCTTTTTTGTTATTTTGTTTCTTCAAGGTGTTTTCCCTCACCGCTGAGCACTTGATAAGTCAACACCATTTTTTTATGTGACAAGGTAAGTTAGCAGTAAGTGTCAATAACTGTTGGTTTCTACCATCCTCATGAAAACACCAGGTTTAGATTTCTGCTTCAAATAAAGACCTCTTTTCCTATCAATATTAATTAAATCATAACATTTCGAAGTCTTCAAGTTGGTTCTTTTCTACACTAACCAAACTTTCCTTTGTCAAGTAGCAGTCTACGCAATAGCTGTTAGAAGTTGAAAATTTCTCCAAAAAAGCTCACAGATGAGAATAAAGAAAACATAGCATTTTTCCACAGTAGTGGTCTGGTTGCATTAATCCCAATGAAAGATTGCAGAACAATAGCAAAATCTTTATTTTCATTTGAGAAGTTTCCACAAGTCGGCCCACGTAGATCGCCTCACGGTAGCAATTCGCTTAACATAGTCAAATTACGAAGTCGATCGTACATCTATTAAATATTAGTCAAATTACGAAGTCGATCGTACGCTATTAAGAAGCGGGTGCGATCGGGCGACGACTGGTTGTGAGCTGTAAAGGCGGTCCGAGCGGAGTCGCGTTGTGGCGACGCGACTCGCCGACGCGGGCGCACGGCAATTTGCCGCATTTCACGGCGTCGCCGCGGGTCACGGCGCGGGGTCATGCCCCACCGTCACGCAGGCCGCTTTCCATCAGCTCACGGAACGAAAGTCGTCTGCTCTGCGACACGATTGCCAATTGACGCTCTCGTCCTGTCGACATCGCATGATGTAAAAGTTTTAATGTGAGTTCATTTTCTTATCGCAGCGTTCGTATTACGACCAATTACTTGTTGTTTGTTAAACACGAGGTAGGACATTTTTTCCGAGCCTACGAACTACGTTTTTAACTACGTAAGAACACCACGTTCTTACGTAGTTAAAAATGAATTAGGCAGGACTTACCGCTTTAATTGACGGCATTTAAAAAAATGTGAAAGCGACTTTTCCTTTTTTGACAAGAAAAAGAGCAAAATTAACTTTAATTGTTAATTGTTCAACAACTATCACTCAGTTTTTTATTGTATTTTATTTATTTATTTTTTTTAATGTTTCATCATTTTTCAATTGTATTTGTGTATCTTATTATCAGAGAAAGGGTGTATGTGTAATAGATTATAAGTTATTTTGTTTTTCTCACTTACTTTTTGTATTTATGGGGAAGATTTTGAGGGTATTATAAAATAAAATAGTTGTCATCCTACAAGGCATGTCAATAACACAACAGTAAATAACAAAGTACATAGTTTAACTCAGTTTAATATATCATTACTCTTACTACAAAAGTATGCTATATCATACTAGTACTACTACTACAACGCTTATTATTAAGCGAGTACTAATAAAAACCAAGGCGTGTCAAATTAGGCTGAAATATAATAAAGTCATCCGATTTCTACATAAAACCGCGCTAACGGCATCGCCCGATGACCAACCTAGTAATTCGGAGCGGCCATTTTTCCACAGATGAGCGCCCGTGACTTCCGCTTCCGGCGACGCGCCCGCGCAGCATCCGCGCGGGAGCAGCCGACCGCTACGTCCTATATTATCGACAAACGTACGTACTGCGAAGCAGTTTTCGTCGTATTTTGTATTTACATACATTGCTGTTTTAATTACAATATGAAATTAGGAGGTAATAGCAGGTTTAACTTCAATGATCGGTGCCAGGTGGCTACAAATCGAGACAACTGAACACAAAAATGGGTGGCCTGCAAGGGGCACGACAAGTTTGTTAAAATATATAAAGAAAATAATGTTCATTACTTTACAAAACTTGTAGAAAGTGCTCGCCCGTAAGACCTTCCCTTCTGAGTATGTTAAAAAGAATATACACAAAAATATTCACTAGTATGCATGACGGCCTTTGACACATAACATATTGCAATATAAAAAATAACTACATGTTCGAAATATAAAGTATGGGTTTGAAAATCAGAACAATTATAAAGAAACTTTATACTACCAGCTATACATATAAATCCAAATACTCTTAGAGAAAGATATACAAATCTTTTAACGAATAATTTGTAGCAAAATATATTTTAATGTGGGCCAAAAATTGACAAATTAAATATATAAGAATGTTGAGCTTATCAACGCCAACTAAGAGACGAATCTTATTCATATAAGCGTAATAGGTTAATAAGTATAATAAGTGAAGACTACAACTGATGCACAACACTAGAAAAGTTACAGATGCATTACGGATCTTTCAGCCGTTCGTTGACAGAGTTTAAGATAATACCTGTCTACAAAAGTGGTGATAAAAATGATCCAGGCAACTATAGACCTATTTCCATATTGCCATCTCTTAGTAAAGTTTTTGAAAAGCTAATATTAAATCAACTTTTAGTTCATTTTAATGTGAACAAAATCTTTCACGATGAGCAATATGGATTCACTAAAGGCAGATCGACAACAGATGCGGGCGTCGCACTTGTCAAACATATTTATAACGCCTGGGAAAGGTCACAAGATGCAATAGGTGTCTTTTGTGACCTTTCAAAAGCCTTCGACTGCGTAGACCATAAAACTCTCCTTCAAAAGCTAGAATATTATGGCATTCGTGGCATCGCCCTCAATCTCATTGCCTCTTACCTTAGTAATAGAATTCAAAAAGTATCTATAAATGATGTTAATTCCGCTGGGTCCCAGATGAAAATGGGAGGCCCACAAGGATCAATCTTGGGCCCATTATTATTTTTAGTATATATTAATGATCTCCCCTTTTATGCAAGTGGGTTGTGTGATGTTGTACTGTTTGCTGACGATACATTGCTTATTTTTAAAGTTGACCGAAACGTATTTAATTATGACGACGTGAATAGTGCACTTTCACATATCCTCCACTGGTTTACTATTAATAATATGGTATTAAATGCCAAAAAAACCAGATGTATTCTTTTTACCCTTCCCAGTATAAGAAGGAAAAGTTTTAGTTTAATATTAAATAACGTACCCATTAATCCAGTTGAGTCTGCTATATTTCTGGGAATTACAGTAGATTCAAAGCTCCAGTGGAGTCCCCATATATCATCTCTTGCGAATAGGCTGAGCTCCGCGGTTTTTGCGATTAGAAGGGTTAGGCAGCTAACAGACATCGACACTGCCAGACTTGTTTACTTTAGTTTTTTTCACAGCATCTTGTCTTGCGGCATTTTGTTGTGGGGTAGTGCATCAGATATAAATTCTATATTTATTCTTCAAAAAAGAGCTGTCCGAGCAATCTACAATATCGGAGCCCGGAATTCACTCAGAGATCTTTTCAAAGAGGTTAATATACTCACTGTTGCTTGTCAATACTTTTTTTGTAATGTTTTGTATATACGTCATAACCTTAATTATTACCTAAAGAATAGTGACAGACATAAAATAAACACTAGAAATAAGGACAAACTTACTACGCCATTGTTTCGTCTACAAAAAGTAAATAAGTCGTTCATGGGGCAAAGTGTGCGCATGTATAATAAAATCCCACAGTCGATATTAAGTCTGCCGCTTGACCAATTTAAATGTAAAATTAAAAATCAACTGATGATTAAAGCATATTATACCATTTCGGAATATCTCGACGACGCCAATGTGTGGAGTTAATACTGTTGATACTCACGTATATTATATTGTATCCTGATATTTTTGAAAAAGAGCAACTGTTGAGTTTCTTGCCGGTCTCTTCTCAACAGAAACCGCTTTCCGAACCGGTGGTACCTTACGAACCTATACACATTATCTTTGATGTAAAATTTGACGATTCATAAGAGCGCGCAAGCGTCTATTTGAATAAATATATTTTTGATTTGATTTAAGAAAAAGGTCAGGTAAAAACAGGTATAAAAGCTCGCACTGTTCCGGTGACCATGAACGCTGTAAAGTGTTTGAAACTTCGGGAATTCAAAATCAAAATAAAATTTGATAAAATCCGTAATTTTTTTTTTTATAAATAAAATAAACTTTGTAACAACAACATCCTGCATTTCGCACCGCTGGTGTCTACTACATATTTTACTCTAAAGAAAAAAAACCTGCATTCACAACTTGCACGCTTTCTATAAATATGCTACGACAGTTAGAGTTTCTTCAACCGTCCTATGAAAAATATGAATTAACCCAGAGAGAATCTACGAAATGTTTACACCCACCATAATGTAAATCAACAATTACCGAAATGTACGTAAATCAGGCAGTTGGTGGGCAATATCGCATGCAGTGCATTGTCTCCCATGTCGTACATCACGGCACCGGCGTTGCGCTGATTGCAAATCTGCGTTAAATCTCATGCACGTCCACGTGATGCGCCGAGACGGCGGCGCACGTCGGATGCGTCCCCATTAGCCCGTCGCATCAGCCGCTTGACGCTTCCGCCGGCCAAGACGGAAGGCTGACCAGCCCGCGACAACCCTAATTATGTCGCGAACTGAATGCGCGCCGCACATAACAGCTATATCATCGTCCAGTGTTATTTCAAAGTGGTATAATGAGGAAATAGAAATCAAAGATATATTATACAGCGTGCCGTTACCACCGCGACAATAAATGAACACACATATAGATCATAACTTTTTAAAATTGTATTAAACATTTACATTCTTTAAACATCAATATTTACCGAGTTATTAAATATTCCAAAACAAACAATTTTATAACACCCTCACGTATAAAAGTGTAACGTAAAGTTCATTTGTTAAGGTCACAAAGCATACGAATGGGTTGAATGAATTTAAAAGAGACAAAAAATACTGTTAGAAGGAGAGGCTTGTAATGCGACGCTGTGGCGCGAGTTGTATAGGATGTTACAAATTTTGTTTCTTTTTTACTTAATTAGTTTGTTTGAAAAATATATTTTTTTAATTATGGATTTTGTTTAACGTTAATATTTTTTTATGATTATTGGCAAGTAGCGTTAGACGTGTGTTCATTTATTGTCGCGATGGTAACGACACGCTGTATACTAGTGACCCGGCCCGGCTACGCACGGGTGCAATGCTGACACTAAATATACTCTATTTTATTATGCATATATTATACATGTAAACCTTGTTCCTGAATTACTGTCTAGTAAAAAAAACGAATCAAGATCCGTTGCGCAGTTTTAAAGATCTAAGCATACATAGGGGCAGACAGACAGCGGGACTTTGTTTTATACCATGTAGCGATGAACACAAGTACCTACAAGCTCATATGCCAGTAGCAGATTTGTCACTATCCTTTAATACCGGCTCCGGATACCTCACTCACCAGGCGAAACGCAGAAACATAAAACTTCCACCTCACGCCGCTTTTCTGTGAGGTCTTGGTACCCGGATGGACTTGCCTATGCGTTCAATAACTTAGTTGTATAATTGTGGTAGGACCACGCAACAGTCTACGCTGTTGCTTGGTCCTTTATTAATTTAGTGGCATCGGCAACGGATCTGCAACTCTAAAGGTGTTAAAAATGGGTGGTGGTCATCGTTTAACATCAGGTGAACCGTCAGCTCGCTTGCCACCTTCTCACATTAAAAAAACTATGCATACTTTTACTTTTTATTGGTACTATACGAAAAAAATCAAAGTGTATTATAGTATAGTAACAAACAAGCATTACATTAAAAGTTGTAGAAAATTGAATTAAAAGTTTTTCGCTCCCGCGTCTTATGCAATTGCGACCAGATATTTAACCACTAAGCTAAACAACTGATTACCACGCTGACAATAATCTCAACGTAAAGCATTAAATTAAGAAATTTCTGCACTTTAATTACTGTCTTTACGTGTATATTGAATCTGCAAGCAATGTCTATGAAGGTTATTATTAATCTGACGTCTACCGCGCTGGTAACGGTTGGCGACGTTGATAGATTGTATAATTCGGGGTCATTGGTTATCCTCATATAGAGAATGTGCTAGAAATTGCGAAGGAAAATTATGCATGGAAGTTGCAATATATCAACAATCAAACATCAAACTTCTGCTTGCACGTTACTTGAGATTACAATAGTATTTAGATATCTTTTACAATAATTAAAAACGACTTGACTATAATAATCAAATCTGGTATTTAAAAAATTTGTGCTGTACTCCAAAAACCTCAAAATTCCGGCTCAAACCAATAACATAATACATAACAGACTGGAGCATTCAAACTGGACAGCAGTAAATCGTGATAGTCTACGTATTTAAACTAATTTAACCATCGTGATTACAAACAAATGAGGGAGAAATCACATGCAGATGAGAGATATTGATATTGCAATTATTATATTATTTGCAATTCTAAGGCTCTTGGTTTCCGATTTTTATATTTCAATAAAAAATTTAAAATTGCATATATTATTGAATGTCTTATTTAATGTCGTTCAAGTGTTATAATTTTCAGAGAAAAAAAGGTCGAAATTTCAGCAATTTCTTTTTTTTTTTATAAAAAAATCCTAAAATTGTGTTCGCTCAAGGTTTTTGACTGTCATATGTTGACGATTAGCCATTAGCGAAAGTGCCAGCCCGTTATACTACATGTTATCATAAGGAGCATACTTATTCACGAATGAAGACCTCGTCTCGAATCCAGAGCGGGTGCGCAGTCGTGAAAGGTCACTTACACGCAGCAGTAAGAGGATCTAGTGGCGGTAGCTCACGGGCGCGAGCGCCGCATCCTGCGCGAGATGAGACGCGCCTTCCTGCGCCCACGCGGTTGCACGCGCCGTGGAGCGCGACCGGGGAGGTCGGGCCGCGGAGGGCAATTCGATCTCGGTTTGATGTAAATTCACGCATTTAATGACTAGCAACTTTTATAACTCTTCAAACACTCTGGTTAAGGGTAGATACGTCTTAATGTATAACATTGAGTTCTTAGACAGGAAACAATATTTTTTTCGTTATGCTCATATTGAGGAAATTGAGTTAGAACTTTGCTAATGCTTCCTCTCACTACTGGCGTGGTAGTAAACGACAGTTATTTAACTTATGATGTAAAGCAACGCTACCTTTATATACATATATGTCCCACTGCTTTACAAAAGCTTTGGAAAAAGGATATCAGGTCAAAGATGGGACCACAAATTTTCTCATGATATTTTCTCCACTACCGAACACTTGGCAAAACACCAACTTAAATTGCAACCAACAATTTGTTTGGTACTCGCCCACCTCCATTTGAACTCAGGTTGCTTAAGTTAGAGATACAACATTACACAGATATAAAAATAGAAATATTTTTAAATAGCTCAATTTGAATTGGTGTATACAGATCTAGTTTATTGAATAATATGTTCAATAAATATTCATACTCAATTTCACCGTTATAAAAAATAGAATATTGGAAATAATCATGGAGATTGCACCGAGCGCCCATTGTGGCCGAAGCTCCTCTTCTGGCGCGCATTGGTATTGTATTACGGCTAGTCGCCGGACATTGCGCGTCCACCGCGTAATCTCGTCCGCATCTATTAATTACCTATGCCCAACAAACCACAAGCTACAGAGACACGCGTGTCACTACGTATTTCATTATGATCAATACGAAAATTTTGCTAGTAGACACTTATTGACTTTTATAGTTATAGTTACTGTTTGATAAAATTAATTGTTGTCTGTTTAAAAATAAAATGTATTGGTAAGATCATTTCAAATTGCTACTGTCTTTATAACAATATACATTCTAATCTCGTTGATGTCTTTTCTTAGGAAATAATCTAAAGGTGTCCATAGAAGAATCACCTTAAAGGTTTGGGCTAACCCTTTACATTAAAGTTTCAGTTGACACTCAGGAACGTGGCATTATAAGTAAATCATAGATCAATTGCTTTATAAAGCTCGTACCATTGGAGAATATAAGAATCATTGTAAGTACAAGTTTATGTAAATTTCTTCAAGCACGCGTCTCGTTCATTGATCATATTTGTCAATACCACATAACGCGGTACAATCTCATTTGCACATAAATGCTGTAAATTCAATAGATATGCAAAATTTTATTCCACCTGATATACAAATGTGTCATCATTTAATAATGACGGTCACTGAACTCTTATTGCTTAGTATATTCACTCACACAAGTGTTAGTGTTGTCATGAGAAATTAAAAAGTAAAATATGCAATTGACACATTATCATGAAAACATTTTATTACTAATATTTTAAGTTTAATTATTCGATTGAAGGTAAACAAAACCTAATTACCACAACAACAAAAACTAAATTTATCATACTATATCGACTACTATGAAATTTAAAACTAATTCAAAACACTGCTTACTTAGCCCTTCGATATCCAATAGCTTAAGACCTCACAAATAGACTATTTACAAAACTGATCAGTCAATTCCAAGGCTGCTAGTACGGTAGTTGGTGAAAATTTAAATGATATGAATTTTATGATGTTCTCTGCACTTAATATGAAATTTATAATTTGTAGGAAATGGACAAAAGGTTTTTCGCTGTGGTAAGGATGATTTTGAATCGTTATCTTCCGGGATACGCACCCGACGCTGTAGCCACTAAGCTAAATCGTATATATTTTGCGATGGTACAAACTTAAATTTATCTTAGGTGGTGAAAAGTTACAAGTTGAAAATTATTTAGTATATTTAATAGGTAATATAAATTATGTTTATATTTTACACAACAAAATTATTACTTTATAGAATTACTACTTAATTTACTACATTGGGGTATGGTAACTAATACTCTAATAAAATGTTTTCGAACACTAATTCTGTAATTAAAAAGATTTCAAAAAAAGTGCAAACGAGACACCGTTATACACCAAGTGCACAACTGAATAAATTTACAACTGAGATCTTATTGAATTAGACAATTCAACAGAATGAAATACATTCTTAACGCGGTTATTCACATCATTATTAAAGCGCTTACGTGCACGCCTATACAATAAACAGCTCTTTTCAAATGCGTATTGTAAAAACTGTAGTATTGTATTGTATCTATCGGTGTAAATTGTTCAAGATCAATACAATGTTTGGCCACACTGCTTCTCATTGTATAACTCTATTATGATTGCTCTCCGATTATCACAAGATGGTGATACTGAAAGCGTTTTATAGAGTCATTGTTAGTTAATTAAGACGTCGTTTGGAGTGTACTATTAGTTCTCTGGGTTACTAGGTGAGTAGGTGTTAGTCATAGGCCTCTATTGTAATTTAATATGCAGTTAACTGAGTTTTTGCTGTTCTATTGATAAGTTATTGACACTTTTTTGGGTTCTGTACCCAAAGAATAAAATTACTATTACTAAGACTACTCTGTTGCCCGTCTGTCTATCTGTCTATCTGTCCGTCTGTCACCAGACTGTATCACGAACTGTATCAAGCTGCAACAAGCTGTATCACGAACCGTGATAATAAGACAGTTTAAATTTTTACGGATCATGTATTTCTATTACCGAAAAAAAAAAATTTAAATGGGGCTCCCATACTACAGACATGATCTTTTTGCCGCTTTATACATAATGCTACGGAACCCTTCGTGCGCGTTTGACTTGCACTTGGCCGGTTTTTTATTTAGTATAGAGATTACGAAATATTTAATAGTTATAATCATACAAAGTATTTAGTTTAATAAAGCCATTGATCTCAATGAAGCAGACATTTTGTTAATGTCAAATAAACTGAAAACTACCCTGGGTATTAGAGATTTTATTGACATATTAAAAGAACTAAACATTTTACCAATCAGATTTTACGACATTTATGTAAAACGTAAATAAATATGCACGCATGGACTTGTGCGGCGGTCGTTTACAACACGTGCAGCGATTTCGCGAGCTTGTAAATAATAAATAAATTCCAACGCACGCTAAATTATTTCTGCCCTGAATAAATTTTATACGCATTTTAAAATGCCTTTTGAAAACGAACGTGGGATTTATGACGGCGAAACTCGTTTAAAGGGTGGTCCGCCCAATGGGGAAGGAACCGAAGGGGTCCCGCGGCTCCGTTTTCTCAGTTTTTTTCGTCTTGACAAACCCCAGCTGCTTTAATACGACATGTTATAAATAAAATCGCGATTTTGACCCGTCACGCGTGAAAGGGATGCACGATAGATTGGCATGCTCCGTGAACCATCTGCTTAAGGATTTCGGCTGCAACACCTTTGATACTTAGCAGTTGGGATTATTTTTAAATGATTTTTTAAACATTAAACGCATAGTTTAAATTGTTGTGAAGCATACACTGATTCGATACAGGACGTCCTTTCTGTTCTGCGATAATTATTATTACGTATGGTCGGAACCGTTTGAATATAGATGTTAAATAATATTTATTGTAGAGTTTTATTGTTTGTGTGAACAGTAATACATTACAAATATTTTATGGCTAATTGGTATGAATTTTTGTTTTATTTTTTTTCGTTTAAACACTCAATGATGATGATAAGAACAAACGATATGGAAGACTGACACAGAAAAATATAATAAAAAACTATTATAAAGATTAATAGATGAAATTGACTTCATTACAAAAATATCTATGTTCTTCTCGCTTTTTAAATAATTCAGAGAGATACATTAGAGGTAATTCAATGAAATCAAATGAAAGTTATATCGAATCCAACAGTCAATCGAGTGTGAAATCAAATCAGCGAGATCAAATTAAACTAAGCCCACGTAACATTCACGGGCTCCTAAAAATAAAACATATTGACGGTAAGATGATCGAAAGTTCGACTTCCGGATTTTAGTTTAATACCCCATTGCGTAATTTATTTCGCAACTATCGGCTCACTGAAGACTTCCCTTTAGCAAATATCATACATTGTTATTTCTACACTATGATTTCGATAATATGCGCGTCATATTTATTATGTCTTCTATTCATATTCATGATATTCTATACTTGATGGGCAAATGTTTATGATTGCATCAACATTCTTTTTTTTATATTATATTCAAACTGTTATGTATTCTGTTTTTCTATATATTTTATGCTGTTTATCTTTTGGTGACTATTAAACATCAAAAGTTCATTTTTTTAAATGTCTTAATTAAAGTCTAATTAAATGAAATGCTCAAAAATAACTATTTTTAGTAACATTCATGTTACGCGCATATAGCCACCGTTACTTACTTTCCCAGAAGTAACTGATTTCCGTTATAAAAAAAAATATTATTTAATAATTCGACGACAGTTCACCTTCAAACCAGTCCTTACCCTTCTGCATTGAGCGTTATTCACTTGCGAAAATCGCACAATTGATCACTTGTCAACCACTTCCCATTGTTGTTACTCCAATGGCTCGTCCGTATGCAAATTCTTGTATTATGACGCCGTAGAAATGTTTTGGCTCGTAAATTCGGTGCAAAACGGCCGGCCGGACAGAGCAACCGTGTAGATTGGTATCGCAACACGTGGACCTGCGTTTAATTTATTCGATATAGATGTAAAGATAGCGGGCCTTAATGCTTGTAGCGGGTTGTTTAACTTGCTAATCATTTGTTAGGGGTGTAGATTAGACGATAATGGTCGCCCCAATTTCTTGTTTGTGATTTCTTTCCTTAGTACAATTCACAACTGCAAAAGTCAATCGTCGAAAGCAAAGCAATTGTTTAAGTTTTTGGGAGCCGGCAGGAGGGAATATTTAAGGTGTCAAAGAACAAGTCTTGTTGAGAAAACCATCCTCTTTTTATTGTCACTCGTTACTATAGTTATTTTTCAATATTAGGGTAAAGCTAGACCAGATGAGAATATGAGTGTACAAGATAAGAGCGGTGCTACACTATAGCAAATGAGTCGCCACAAGTTTTTACTAAACTTACTATTGCTTATATACCTTAGAGTGAAATATAAGACCGCCTCATAATTACTTTGTTACAGAAGAAAAAAGAAGTACAAAATCGGGCAATACGTGACATCTCTTATAAGTCGCTAATGCAAGTCTTTTGATTTTGGATGTTCTTAATACAAACTACGAAACCAAAAACGCCTTACGCATTATCAGTAAACAACACAAGGGCCAAACGTTTCGACACGAAAAACGATCTACAAAGGCGTAAGCCAACATTGAACGGTAGGCCATATGATAGCACGTAAAAAAGGTGACCTTGACGGCTTATGATGATAAAAAAGGTTCATTTACACTGCGCTGCAACTGTTATTTTGAATGGAGAGAACCATTGTGAGGACACCGCGCCCACACGCCAGCGCTGGCATAACAGGTGTTGCATTGTTATATGCAAATTACACTTTCGCTCTCAAACTATACGATTTTTGTGCGCTACTATTTGCCTTTTAATAAACTGTATTGATTAAGTTGATCAATTGATACGCTACGCAAATAGGTCATAAAAGGCATAAACTCTACATTTATAATTTTAATTGAAATTCATCAGCCAAATAATGAGAATAATGATATATGTTAAAAAGGAATGGCTGTATTTAAGAATAGGTTTTCACATAAAATAAATATATTTCTCTGACTGAAAAAATAATGTATTCTTCTGACCTACCTTGATGGACTAGCTTGTACCATTGAAAACCTCATCGAGATCTTCTGTTTCGAGGATTGAAGAAGAAATTTGAAAACTCGTAATTAAATCTTAACAACGTGGATATAATATAAAAGCAATATTATTTTCTCATAAGTCTTTATATGTTTGTATTCTTAAAGTAGCTACTTAAATCACCCAGTATTAGTCGTAAACGTGTCGTAGATCATAATAACCAGTATAACTTGAAATAAAAAATAGTAGCCAAGGGACTTGACAAACGGCTTGTTAATATTCTTTGTCGCCTGCGTACCTGCTTTGTGCCTGAATGTCCTGTATACGTGCGGAGTATCGAGTTAAATGGATTCTTAAAACGTTAAATTAGCGAATTTATTATTTAGAATTCGCAAGGGAACTTCCATAGTGTAAGTTGGAACGAATGGACATAATTTTGAGACACTTGACTGACCGTAGTTACTGCAGGGATTAGGAATGTTAGGGTTAGATAATGTGGGAATGGAAAGCGATGTGAATAATCAAAGTTAGAGGCCTGTTAACGTCTTCTATTCAAAAGTAACACGAGTACGAGTACTACAGAAAAATAAAATTAGGCAATAGTAATTCATCCAAGATTATACTTCAATTGAACGCTTAAGATGTGTTAATGGTCTTAAAAATGAACAAGGCATAAATATTGGTAAAATATTCATAGCCGCCAGGTTTAACCGTCCGTCTTCCGTGACGTCGGTTGGTTCAGGTGCGTTCCACATAGTTACTGTTTACGCACGGCCGCGGTCTCGTAACGTCTGAAATTGTAAACCGCTCCTACTTACATGACGTGTCCTCCAACCTACTTTCAACTAGTAAACAGTGATTAGTAATTTTGACCACTGTAATAATTTAAGTCGTAGTAAAATAAGTTTTTTTGCCATTTCGAAATCCCTAAAGACACAGTGAAGTGGCTGTAGCAGTGGTCTTATTACCTGAAGAAAAATAGTTTTGAGTTACAATAGTCAGTACCAGTATGGAATATTTTTTATATGGAGGTGACAATCACTTATTAATACACATTATATATTGAATAGAATAAACATACTGTAAAATTATCCATCAAAAGAGTTAATTACTAAAACCAACTATGGCAAAATAGTATTTAAAATAAATAGGTGGGGTGGTGAAAGTTATCGCAATACGTAGAAGTTTTTGATTATATCTGAATAAAGATATGTTAGCTCTAATAAAAAAAAAAACCCCAATCCGAAGTCAAAATCTTAAACGGCAACGAATATTTTCTGTCTGCTTCACTATCCAATTCATTATTTATAAAGTACACATTTTATAAACACATTCGCCTTATTAATTAGTGAGCAATTTTAATCTGACATCGGCAATCGGTTTTATTAAATGAAAACTTATCGTAGAATCCCATTGACGTGCACTCGAAACATAACGTATAACCACGGTGCCAGGGACCGTCCTATAGCAAGTTTACGGTGATGCAACCGCAAAAAAAGGCATTTACAACTAATTAAATCTACCCACGTAGAGTGGCGCAACCGGCACGCCTCCGCTTCGGTCGCTCAGATTATTTTAATTAGTCCAGAGAAAGGATTAAGTTAGCTTTTTGTTTTTATTCCGGTCGTACTTCGTGACTAAGCACAACACTTCTAATTCCTTCTGCGTTCCGAAACAAGGTAATTAATTAAAGTTATCGCGCTACTTAGAGCAAACTTCTTAAAGGGAACTCCATTTATTCACTCCGATATAAAATTTTCCGTACTTCGTATGATTTTTCTGGTTGATTTTAAACACCCATCAGAAGACTCCACGTGATGGGCCGTATCCAAAATTGTGTGTAAATTATAATGAGACATTTTGAATATATGTAAAGGAACAGTTTGCCAGCGTCAGTTTTCCCATCCCAATATAAGGTGTGTCTTCGAGGCAAGAGTGAATAGATTGTAACTGAGCTAGTGCGTTTACCATCACGTGAAATAGAAGTCGGGCACTAGTTTTGGGTAAAAAAAAACTTATAAGTCCGATTTTAGACCACCTTCTTACATACTTTGATCTTATAAGAAAAAAGTCCGAAAAGATACCTGATCTACTATCATTTGTTATACATAACATGAGCTTAGGAAAGACCTTTTCTTGAGTATGCTTTTATTGTTACCAAGAGCTTACTGTTTATAAATGTTAAGATCTGGGAATTTAATATTAATCTTAAGTTTTGATATCACACAAAACCGTGATAGCTCAGTGTCCATGCACTCGCCTTTATTTAAATATACTCGAGCAACCTGAGTTCATTCCCCGGAGCCGGCACCAATGAAATAGTTTATTTTAAGTGCCGAATTATCACGTGCTCAGCGGTGAAGGAAAACATCGTGAAGAAGCCTACATATTTTCGAAATAATAAAAGCAAAAAAATTTCGAAGATTTGTAAAATCCGCCAATCAGCAGTGGGGCCGCGTGGTGGACTATGCCCTCATACCCTCTGCACAGAGGAGGCCTTTGCCCAGCCGTGGGACATATAGAGGCTGATACTTTACTCTACTTTTTATTGATGTCACATGATATCAACACTTAATATTAAATACCAAGAAGAGAAGTGACTAATTTTTAAAAAAATCTGTTTAAAACGGGACAAGGACGGTATCAACAGTGGCATAGTGGGGTTGTTCATGTCGAAACGAATGGAGGAAATGCGATTTTCCCTGAGAGCCCTGATCGGCCCGCGTGTTGCGCTGCGTGCGCGTAACGAGCGCTCGTCAACACCTACCGATAGCATCGCTATGACTGGCTGGAAATTATTCCGAATCGTAATTACGGCGATTATTCACGGCCGGCCGGGGGCGGCGGCCATTTTTCAACAGTCACCGTTCTTAATTATGAGCCGCGCTGGACGGCTGTCGAAGCTTTGAGCCGCGCCGTCACCCCGGGCCGACTTCTCCCCGTACACTTCACTCGGACGGAGGTGTTTATTCTGGTCTACGTGCGAGCATAATGTTCGATATATCATGGACATACAAAATACGTTCGAAAAGAGTTCTGCAGTCGAATGAAAAGATTACTCTTCCCAGAACGTATTTTCTAATAAGCGTACCCATTGTTATTCTTTTAACTTTTAAGCCAAATAAATTTTCCATTAATATATTTTCAAATGAAATAGTCAGTTACTTCAGTTATTATCGACTGAAATATTGTACATAAAATTGTTCGACATAATGCCGAATGATATATTAATTGCACCCCACTATCGTAACATCACACAAGAACTCAACTAGTGTTTATTTATCGTTTTGGAAGGCTTCGGGAAGACAGACGGAATGCTATGTTTTTTTTATTTCACGTTGAAGTTGAAATAAACCATATATGTTATAAAACCTAAAATATATACTTCATGAATTTTAAAAATTACCAACAACACATTCAAAGAAAACTTTCGCCAAAAAACATTACGCAGTTATTTGTTATTTGAAATTAGATAAGACAGACGAAAACTTTTGTAATTTTTTGTTTTAAGAAAGACCTAATTCAAAGAGATTTTACAAAAAAAATATATTTAACATTATTGCCGTCGTGATTGAAAACTGGCTACACTTAATATCGAATTTTATGTAAGCCCCATGAAATGATGTTTATTTTAAAAGTTCTACTTTTAACAGAATGATTAAAATTAGTATAGCGCTAGCTCAAGAAACGACTTCCAGATAATAATTGAAACCACCGTCTGGTCACGACCATACCTCATACACTCGCGCATAAAAGTTTTAATACTTTCATATGCAAAAAACTAACATTTAGTTTTTTAATTAAAAGTTTTTGTACATAATAAGTTCTAACATAAAACATAATTATTAAAAAATCAATTAAGCGTTTTTTATTACTGTATGTGCATTACACTACATATATATTCGTAGGTTATCATATATTTCCCATTCCGACCGCATTTTACGGTACGAGACATCAGAAATGTATGAAAATATGTAATAGAAATTCTTTGACATAATTTAAATTCCGAAATATTTGTTTGTACATACAAAGAAACCATTCCATGTTTTATAATGCATTTTAGCACTCTTTTAGTAATTACATCTATTTATCAGATCAAATTTTAATTTTAACAGAATTTTGGTTGCGACCACTATGAAAGAGACAACGAAAAGACAGTCTGCAGCAAAAGACCGTTGCACGCGACTGTACACGGCCCAATTCTGGGCGTGCTGACGCCGGCGCGTCTAATCGTCGTTTATTGGAGAAAACCGATTACTGGCAGCGCCACGGCCGACCGTTGCGACATGTCACCGGGCGCTGTTCCAGACTCATGGACCGTCGAGACAAAATATAGCGAATTCTCAGCAAAAGGTCTGCATATGGCGAACAATGCATCGAAGTACGAATACAAAAAAGTGTGGTAGGGCCATGCAGCAGTCTCGTTGCACGAATGGGCAGGCGCGTCCGGGTAAGTACCACGACCTCACAGAAGACCGGCGTGAAGTGGAAGTATAATAGGTACTTCCGCATTTCGTCTGCTTAGTGAGGTAGCCGGAGCCCAATTTTTAAAAGGTGTCAACGCATCTGCAACCCTCGGGTGCAGCAGATTTCCATGGGCGGCGGTATTCACTTTACATCAAGTGAACCGCCTGCTCGCTTGGCAAATTGTCACATAAAAACAAATGTTCTTAAGAAGTAGAAAGTAAAAAGTTCACCTGGTGTCTCAGCAGCTCTACTACTTTACAATCGAGCTCTAATCCTGTTCCACAGCTATTGCTTACTTTTTCATAAACTTTCTTTTTTTATAAGAGAAGGTAGTAAACAAGCAAGCGGAAGGCGTAACTCTGTCCATGTACCTGTACATTTGTAACAATACTGGTGTATTGTAGCCTGTAGATTGTAGTTGTACTGGTCGCTAAAATTAACACCTGACCACCAGATCGTCGGTCTACCCAGAGCCCGTGGTACTTCCCTAGACGAGCCTGATCATTCGTTCATCAGCAGAAGCTGCGTGGCTCTGCGTCTTAGTTGTCATTTAATTCTTGTCCTTTTTGTAATGAAAATCTCTAACTTCTATGTTTACAAAATAAAAAGAAATCGTAAGTACTACTTCCTAGGAATCATTAGTTCGATTGGCTGGTGTTGTAAGTTATTTCTTCGTTCCTATTTTCCGGTATTAGGAACATAAATAGTTCAATACATTGTCGCACTCGTACCTGGCGCGGGCCGTGGACGCGCTCAAGTTGCGAGTCACGGAGGGAGCTTTTGGGTAAAAACTATAAAAACCAAATTATATTGATGGGAATCGAGTCCGCTTGATTGATGATGAGAGGGCACTTTTTAATTTATTTCGAGGATTCCATCGCTCGACGTACCTATACTAAGGTCTCGTCGGAGCGGAATTTCGAAATGTGTACTTTGTACATAACCACGTAAACAGGATTCCGTATGTCGCTTTGTTTTGTTATTTTTACTCATTTTCCAAAACTCACCTCAACGTCAACAGCGACGCACAGTACCTCAATGCTCATAAAAGTCAATAGTACGCTCTAAAATAAATGAAAACCGTAACTAAAGCGCTGCAAAGTCACAAAAGATGGGTGAATGTACAATGATGAAAATTTTTAACACAAAAACTTATTCAAAAATGAAGCCACGTACACAAAAACAAATGACGTTCCCGCGGAACCCTACAAATAAAAAAAAATGAAACAACAGCTCCGACGTGCTGTCAGACGCGCGGTTTTTTCTTAACGATTTTTGGCTCAGGTGTCTATTAATATTAATTGACGTTTGTGAAATTTGGACTCTAATATACGTAGAACAATGACGATGCAATGTCGATGATGTATTATAAAACTTTAGGCTTTCAATTTCTTCCGAACAAATTTATTGATGTTATCTATGATTTTAGTGTTCGCATCGAACTCATTCTTTTTACACGGTTTTTTATAAAGGTATATTTCCGTTTTATTATTACGTAATTTAATAAATCTACTAATCAGACGTTCTGTGTGTTGTATCAGTCTTTTCAGATATAATATATAAAGTAAAAAGAACTAATTTAATATTATATCAAACGTTGTCCATTTTATTTTACGCAGCCATTTTATAAATTTTAAATGCTAAGTTGTAATTTTATTAACTTATGAAACGTATAAACACTGGCCTAATAAGTGAATTGGCTTATACGTATACCAGAGTGACCTATGTTTCTAATCCAAAAAGCAACCGTATAGACAACCTAATTGTGATAATGAGTGTAATATTACAAAGTAAACCTCTCTCGACAGGTCTGGGCCTTGCTGCCATCACTAGAAACAAAAAAACAGAAAAAATTAAAACGTATACATAAAAAAACAAGACAACAGAAACATATGCAATTTACTTGACAATAATGAAGTTGTTATTATTGTTGTGACATAATTATAATGACAACTATTCACAATAAATTTTGTTTCCCTAAATTCACAGATCCAAAAGTTGTAATATAACTATTAGTTTGTAATTTGTATTAAAACAAAATTATTTTTAATTGGACACGAACTCGATATTTTTATATACAATTCATCGACGTAGCATTAAATAATTATACAAAAACGTATGGGCTAATTGCTTATATAACCTTAACACGGCTTTTTATAAACTTCAGTAAATCATTTAACTGAATTAAAAAAAAAACGCACCATCCAATCTACAGGCTACCGGTTATTATCGAAAAATACGTCGTTACTTTGTGAATCACGGACAAACTCATCATATTTTGGATTGTAACCTACCTTGGATTGCGTATTTTGACGCCTAGCGTTCTTCATTTATGATTTAAAACTATTTAAATACATCTTTAAAGGCCCCAAGAAGCTGTTAGTTGCATCTTGAATATTTATTTTATTTTAAATAAAGTTTGAATAAAGTTAAATAAGGTTAACAATTACATACTGTCAGCCAAAACTGTGCGTACACAACATGCTACGATATCACGGCAACAATGTTTTCAACTTAATTTTCAGATTCCGCTTCGTGCTCTCGTACGGAACGGACGTCTCTCTAAGACGGAGGGCACATGCCACCCGAATTAGACGCCACTCGCAACCTCGGTTGCAATTTAAATCTTGTGCAAATAGTGCAGTAGTTTAGTATTTGTGTAGTGTTGTGCTCGTAGGCAGGTTCCTGTTTTGTAAGTAAAATCCTACACACACTTCTCGCCTCAGAGGCGGCATTGTTTCATTTATTAACTGTGTGCTTGTTGCAATAGGCGACAGCTAGGTACCCACCCTAGCGCACCTTAAGCGCAGGCAAATTAGTTGTTATTTTTAGGCACACTCCTCCCTGCCGCAAGGTGGGGAGGCTTATTTAGCTCACACACGCCGGCGGGGCTACAAGCCCCAAAGGTACTTACGTCGCGATGGGCTCCCTTTTCGAGGAGTTCGTTCGCAGAGAATGCCCCGCTATGTGGGAACGTTATCTTGCCTATGCAGAGCCGAGCATAGGCAAGTAGCTGAACTCGCATCGCCGCTATTGCCCGCGCCGTCTGCGCCCTTTACCCCGTCGCCCTCCGCGACCTTAGAAGCCCCCGTCGCTTCGGCATCCGCTAACGCGAACTCGCCCGTAGCGCCTTCCGTGCAACCAAACCCGACCTCTTTCCGCTCCGTCGTACCCGACTCACAATCGGACGGCGGATCGGACATGGAGGTCGAAACGACCCCCGCTGAAAATGCGAACGCCGACGGCTTCACCGTCGTTAAATCGCGTAAAAAGGGCAAGAAACGCCCCGCTACCGACAGCGACCCCGAATACGAGGCCGCCTCAACGATCCGTCCCCACCGCGACGCCTGCCAAAAAGGCAGCCGCGACTGCCCAGTCGGAACCGACATTCGCCTCCGAGCGAAAAATCAAGCCACCGCCGCCAATTATCATACAAGAAAAGGCAAAGTGGCACCAAATATGTTCATGGTTCGAACGCCATAACATACGAGATCCCCGGTCCAAAAATACGCATATGGGTATCCGCGTATACCTCGATTCTACGGACGATTTCCGCCGCGTAACAAAGTACTTGCGCGAAGCTAAGGTAGGTTTCCACACCACACCTACTCACTACCCGAAGAGCGTAAACTTCGGGTCGTAATCAAGGGCGTCCCGAAAGAGTCGGATGTCGATAGGGCTAAGGTCGACATCCGCACTCAGGGATACCCTGTTCACGCCGTGCGTCGCCTCAGGCACCCTCGCACCCGTGTCCCTATGGACATGGTCATGGTGGAACTTGACCCTACCCCGGAAGGTAAGGCCATTTTCAACCTAAAGAGGGTCTGTGGGCTCAGTGACTTAGTCATCGAGCCCCCGCGAAAATCAGGTGTTGTGGCACAGTGCCACAACTGTCAACATTTTGGCCACACGGCCAATAATTGCTTCGCTCACCCTAGGTGCGTCAAATGCACCGGTGACCACGGCACAACCGAGTGCACGAGGCCAAAAGATTGCGCAGATCCACCGAACTGCGTAAACTGTCACGCTACCGGCCACCCGGCTAGTTATAGAGGCTGCGCTAAGGCCCCGAAAACTCCCGCGAGAAAATCTCCCGCGAAATCTACGTTGCCCAAACCCGCGCCCGTAAAATACGTTCCCGCGCCCGTACCCGTCACAAACGCCTGGGCGAAACCCCAGGTGGCCGCGCAGGTAATCACGCCCCCGGTCGCTTCACGACCGATTGCACAATCGCTGCCCGCCTGTCAAACGGCGCCGCGGCCGCAGGTGCAGCCAACTTCATCGGTTTTCGCCGAAAACAAGGACGACCCGTTCGCACAAATCGCCAACATCTGCAGCCTATTAGACCGAATCAATAGGCAAGAACTCGCCGTATTGTCCGCTAAAATAGCGGCCGCCACATCTGGCAACGAGCGCCTTAGAGCAATCAGCCAACACAAAACGCTTGTAGAAGCCCTATGGGCTTTTACGAGCCAACCATAAAAAGACATAATAGTCCGCGCAATAAAACCGCGCTCCGCCGCGTCGTTAATTAGAACCATAAAAACTTTAATGGGAAGTACAACCGCAGGTAGAACAAAACCTCGGGCTCTGGTTGTTTCGTATTTCAACGCAAACGGCATAAAGGGTCAAAGGGACGAAATCGCAGAATTCCTTCGCGATTATAACGTAGATATTTTTCTAGTGCAAGAGACATTCTTAAAACCTAGTGTACGCGATCCCAGAATCGCAAATTACAACATTGTCCGCCATGACCGGTTAGCAAACCGTCTGGGAGGCACATTAATTTACTATAAACGGTCCTTGCACTGTTGCCCGCTCGACATTCCAGAGCTAAGTCAAATAGAGGCATCCGCGTGTAGGTTAGCACTCACCGGCCACAGGCCGCTTGTACTAGTCTCAGCCTACCTCTCGGGGAACAAAACCTTATTATAAA